ATCATCATATTTTAGCCATTTTCTGCAATTAATTCAGCTGTAAACAAACTAATATACTATGTTTTGACATTCATTTTATTACACTGGATGTATTACACTTTTTTAATAAAATCGTAATCTTATTAATCTAATTAAATTACTTCAATTAAGATAAAAGTAGATTTTTTTTTACATTTTAATATAAGATTTTATTTCATAAAGATTTATTTCATAAATCATCATTTCAACCAATTAATCAATAAATAAGTAAATAAATAAATGTTTATTAAAATAGCATTAAATTGAAATCAAAATGGTCATTAATTTCACACATTTTTATAGTATTTCATTAAACATAAATATATTACTATTATTGTTGTTTTTATAACCAATTTATGCAATTAATTAATGTGTAAAAGATTTAATGTCTTTTGTTTTGTTGATTATTTTGTAACACTGGATGTATTTTACACTAAATGTGATTGTGTTGCTTTTTGCAAAAGTGTCTGCCAAGCTATTTCACTCTCAAAAGCACACAGAGTAAACTTTTCTGGTTATGTCTGATGTATGTAACCTAGTATGTACTGTAAGTCTCTCTGCATGTGTTTTAACTTGTGTTATATGCTGTTTTCAAAGTGAGTATAAGAGTGTGTATGAGAGTGAAAGTGTTTGGAGGTGTGGCACTGAATGAAGAAAATACATTAAGTATGAATGGAATTTAAGAATGGAATAGTGATAACTTCAGTATGTATCAATTTTAGCTCAGATCTGAGTCAGATAATTTGCAAGCACAGACTGTTCTAATGCAGGTCTCTCTGTAGGGTTATAGGGATTTTCCCTCTGAAATCTGAGATTCATTGCACATGAGGTAAGCATTTCAGTCAAACACACTGAAATATGTAATTATGCAATATGTAATTAGACAGACCTTCAGGACACGTATACATGCCTCTCTTTCTCCAAGCAAAACTGTTTAATGAGTACCCTTGAATTCTCAGTTGTATAAGGTAGATTTGCTTGCTGAAGCGATTCTGAATGGGCTTTGTGACCTTTGCTTTAGACCTTTAGATCAGAATATTGTGAAAGTGGCGTGTTTCATCTGCTACTCAAATAATTTTGTGTAGCTTATATAAAACATGTTAAGTAAGATTTTCAGATTCAAACATTGTTTCTACACTGAAAAAAATTGGTGCAAATGCAATTTTCACTAAGAAATTGCTAGTCAATTTGACAAATAATAACAAAGAAAGGCAAGTAACACATTGAATTAAACTATAGAGATTGACCGATAATCGGTTTTACCGATTTTCCTTATTTTTACATAATTGGACAATTACACAATTTTTGCTCACACATCAGCAATTACATCGCTGCGTCTGAAGGAGCTATTAATGCACAAATGAGATGCATTACATAAATTCTTGATTTGCAGTTTAAGCTTGGCACTATGGAATTACATGAATGAAATAAAGCAGCCTTAAAAGATCTAATTTAAACTTCCCTAAATAATATTAACATTTACTACATAACCACTGTTTCGCGAACAAGCATCTAAGTAATTACAGCTCTGTGGAAATGAATTATTTATTATCTATTATAAACGGGCACATACACATGCTGTACTGGTATATCATAAAAAAATAATGGTTACCCTTACAAAAAATAAGTTTATTCAAGTGTGCTTTTAAACTAAAAATAGGAAAGTATACTTTTAGTCTACTTTTCATGTACTTCTCAGAAATGGGCTTTATGTACTTCTCAGAAATATACTTAAAATGACATTTAAGTATACTTGACTTATACTAAATATATTTTAGCTATAATTGTGCTTCTAGAATCCGTGTTTTCATTGTTATACGGTAGGGGGCGCTAGTACACATCTTCTGTACAGAATTTCCAAAAAACACAAGTGAAGAAGAAACCGAAACAACAAATCCTTCCACATGTATTCTAACATGATCATCAGACATAAAACAGTATCAAAACTATGTAACATTATGGAATAAAATGTCGACCAATGAAGAGGTAATAATAACTGTCAAGCTTTGGGGTGTTGATCGACTTTATCTACGTTTTGATTATCATTCTGAATCCAATTCATGGTCTTTTTTCAGCTTTTTGTTCAAAATGTTGTTTATTTCTTTATTTTTTATTTATGAAACTTATCCACATTCAAGTGTTTAAAAAAAGAATGCATGAAGCTAGAATAAAATGTTTTTGTTTACAAGCAGATACCCTGTTCTTTTGATGTTTTGTATGTTCAGATATTCATGTAACAAAATATATACGAATTAATACCTAAATAGGGACATAGTAGTATACTTAAAGTATGGTGTAAAGTTCACTTAAAGAAAACTTATGAGTATACTTGCAGTATAAAACTACTAAACTAGTAGTTTACTGAGACTATACTTCAAAGTGTACTAAAAACGCTACAATTATTTAATTAGTAAACTATCAGTATACCTATAAGTTCACTTTTAGTATAGTTGCAGTACAAACTAAACATTTTGATGTAAACTAGTTGTGTACTCAAAGTTTACTACTGTTATACTTAAAGTATACTTTTATATACTAGAAAGTGGGCCAATTTAGTCCCAAGGAGTATTGAAATAGTACACTTACAAGTATACTACTAGTACACTGATATTTGTATACTTACTACATAAAGTATACTTAAAAATATACTTGAACCTTACTTAAGTATACTTACTAAAATAAACTTGAAGTATACTACTTTTTGGTAAGGGTATAAAAAATCAAGACCGGCCGATCATGCAGTTTTGAAGTAGGCCTAGTATTTTCTTATTAAATATACTCCAATAATCCTTTTAATTTTCAACTTTATTTTCAAATTTTAGTACAGGTGCATCTCAATAAATTAGAATGTCGTGGAAAAGTTCATTTATTTCAGTAATTCAACTCAAATTGTGAAACTCGTGTATTAAATACATTCAATGCACACAGACTGAAGTAGTTTAAGTCTTTGGTTCTTTTAATTGTGATGATTTTCGCTCACATTTAACAAAAATCATAAGGCTGCGGTTCTCTCGGTTGGTTGTGCATCTTTTCTCTTCCACACTTTTTCCTTCCACTCAACTTTCTGTTAACATGCTGTCTACCTTTTTGTTTTTTGGGAAAATTTTTATCAGTCCTTTTCTGAATTGCCTTTCTTTATAGCAAAGAAATCACTGTCTCTCACCGGCGCCAGATAGCAAAGCTTGGCATTGCAGCTTTCATTCAATCACCATTCATGAACACAGTACATTATTAGACTGTAATGTGATCTTTCCTTGTGAACTTCCTCATTCTCCGGGTGAGAGCAGTGCACAAGAAAAGGCAGTTCTGTGAGGCGTGTCATCCATTTCCCACCACGCAACGATGTGTGTTTGTGTGTGTGTGTGTGCTCGTGACGGAGGACAGGGGGAGGAGCTTGACTGGAACTAAGAAGTTTGGCTCTGTTGTATTTTGCCCTGGCTTTGTTCCAGGGCAGAAATGCTCTGACCGAACATGTATCATTCTAATGTAGACACACAAATGACAAAAGACTAAGGAATCCCTTTTCAGCACAGTGTTGAATGCTGGTAACATGTAATGGTATTGTGATAAAGGCTTATATGCTTTGGCTAGGAGCCAGGTCAGAAATCTAACTCATGTTAAACACAGAAGCACTTATAGATATGACAATGCATATACTGGAAAATAAGTAGGAGTATATTAGGATTACACAGCAACTGCATCACTGTGGTCACAATTTTTTGTTTTATCCCAATGTTTTATCCCAATTCCAGAATCGCTGCTTATTTTTGATCAGTATGATGTGCAAATATTAGTTGTTGTTAAACTGTGAGTGGTTTTTATTTTCATCTTCTTCATTAGTTCCAGGTAAAAGAAACAAATGTCACTTATTTTATTCACTGACAAGTTTTTTTCCACCAAGATCTGTGCGATTATTACCTCATGATGGTAGTTATGACAACATCAGGACTTATGATCTGATATGATCAAAGGAACTCTATTGAGTCATTAACCTGTTACCTTTGCCCTCATTAACATGCATAACTGACAACTTTTTCTAATGAAATGCAACTTACTAAAATCCCAAAGTAATGCTTGCGCTGTCCCTGTGTATGAACTGTTGTTTCTGTTTAGGAGCTGCATTGTGGTTTGCTACTGACAGACAGACAGACAGGAAGCCACGATTTTAAACGGCATATCTTCCAGATAAGACCATAAGAAGAGTCTGTCTTCAAGTGTGTCCTGTATTCACAGGTACTGACGTCTTTGGGGAAAGCAGCTCTAGTTCATACTGGCTATAAACCACACAATTTCAAGAAATGTCGTGAGCTTTATCAGAATATAGAAAAAGATTGCTAAAAAAATCCATGTACTGGCATCTTTACTATAAATGTTTACCTAAAAAATGAATGACTCACACTGTTGGCTTGAAGGCCTATTGTTCCTGTTTTTTTTTCAAAAGCATTTTCTTTGACGCTTGAAAAGAAAATTCTGAAAACTTTCCCTCAGACCATCCAAGATATAGATGAGAACAGATTTGGAGATACACTGCAATGAATGGAAGCCCTCAGAAATGAGTTCAAACAATTGATAAAAACGGCATAATAATTCACAAGTAATTTAAGTAATCTGCAAGCTGCGTGTTTGTAATAAATAAATACATTTACATTTACATTTGCATTTAGTCATTTAGCAGACGCTTTTATCCAAAGCGACTTACAAATGAGGACAATAAAAGCAGTCAAAACTAACAAAAGAGCAACAATATATAAGTGCAAATGACAAGTCTCGGTTAGCCTAACGCAGTACACGTAGCAAGGTATATATACACACACACAAAGAAAAACAAGTAGATAGAACAGAAAAAATGGAAAGCCAGTGTTTTTTTTTTTTTTTATAAAAAAGAAGATTCATAGATAAAGTAGAATTAAAAGCGATGTTTTTAACTGAAAAACTTTGCTTCGGACTATAGTTCTGTTACCATAATATTGCTTTCTCCAGTAAAAAGTTGTCTTGTCTGCATCAGGAGAGAAACAACAGGAAAAAAACAGTCCAAAACAATTCTAAACAATTATGTTGGTGTATTTTGTTGTGAGTGGACAACAGGAGATGGACTTTTTCACTGTCGCATTATTGTTCTTTGGTATTGATATTTTAGCCAGAAGTGATTTGTTTCTTCCAAACATGCAGCTTTTTGCTTCACAAGATGTTAATTGATGGACTGGAGTCATGTTGATTACTTGTGGATCATGATGTTTTTATCAGCTGTTTGGACTCTCATTCTGACGGCACCAAATTACTGCAGAGGAACCATTGGTGAGCAAGTGAAGCAATGCTAAATTTCTCCAAATCTGTTCTGATGAAGAAACAAACTCATCTACATTTTGGATGGCATGAGGGTGAGTATTTTCATTTTTGGGCAAACTATTCCTTTAATGTATTAATCACACTGTTGAATGAACATAATTCAATGGTTTGGCTTTTATTAATGCTGAAGGCTGCCAAATGAAGCTAACATTCGTGAGAAGTCCATTATGATCTCTGTGTATTGTGTATGAAACATGTATAGAGTTTCTGCCGATAGTATACTTGACAGATGGGAAGCAACTGAACATCAGACTTGAGAGGTCATAGATGTTGCATCATCCATTCTGGGCTGTTTCTACTAGATTCTTTAAAACTGATTGTATCTCTAAACTGTGTAAACTGTGTGAAATTTGACATTTTGACCTAAAATGTACTTGTTCTGAGGTATCCGATCAGGAAGACTTTTTTATTTTTATTTTTATTTTTGTTATTTGTATTATTTTTTAATTAATAATTTTATTCAGCATTTAAGTGATCAAGTGACAGTAAAGACATTTGTATTTGTAATTAGCTATTTTGAACTTTCTATCTATCATAGAATCTGGAAAAATTATTATGCTTTTCACAAAAATATTAAGCAGTAAAACGGTTTTCAACATTAATAATATAAGAAATAATAATGTTACTCGAGTAGCGATCACAGGAATAAATTACAGTTGAAAATATATTTAACTACAAAAGAGTTATTTTCATACTCACAATATTACTGGTTTTACTGTATTTTTGTTCAAATAAATGCAGCTTTAGTGAGCGCAAGAATCTTCTTTCAGAAAAAAAATTATCTACTCAAAACTTTTGAATGGTAGTTTATATTTTACAGAGTCATATAACTTCTATCTCAGGAGGGTGTTGGTAATTTATAGTGATTTTACCCATGTAGGTCATTTCTAATGGATTATTAATGCAGTTTGTTTAACTGATGGCGAATGCAATATCCCTGTATATGCAAAATATAAAAAATGATCATCATTTTAAAATAGTCCAGTATTGAAATGACACGAAAAGAGAAACAAAAAGTAAAATAGTATATTTCCAAATTGTTGAAAAAAGTGAATCAAAAAATTTCATTAGGAAGTAAAAAATTCCAAAGTTTCAAAATCGATTGAGTAACTCAGCAGCATAACAATAATGTGTTTCTAAGCATTATATATAACCCTGTTGGGTGTTGAAACCACTTGAATGACACAATGACTGGTTCACTGGTTTTCATATTCTCACTGTTAGGAGCATATGTCAACGGGTTCAGAAATATGAAAGCCAGACATCCAGTATCCGCATCCAAAGTCTCCTCTTCATTCTTATAATTGAATGTTATATGAAAAGACATATGTACACCAAATTAGAGAGTTTAATCCTTTATTTACCTGTACTTTAGAATGTGAAACAGAAACAAATGATGCATTCAAATTACCAGTATGAATGAAAACAAACATTGGTCACCTCCACATATCAGTAATGTTGCCACAAATCAGCTCAGAATGTATCAAACATTACATACATGAAATCACAAAATCCATGTTCAGCAGTATAAACTTTAATTTTATAAAAATACAAAAACCCATAGAAAATGCAATGTAAAAGCTTGTGTATGTTGAATAAAGTAAAAACAGAGCAAGACGTTGGTCTTAGTTTTCTAAAGCCATAATATCACTTTTGAGTAACCAAAGAAAACCCTTGTTTGAACAGTACATTTGAGAACCTTGGATAAGAAGCATGTTTAAAATGACATAGCCATTACCCAGGGACAATTCCCTGCTAGTTCCCACTTTAAGGAACACAATTAATCTGTCATAATTGAGCGTTTGTGGACAAATGGTCCCAAATTTCTCCAACATGACCATCATAAAATCTCACTGCTTTACCTAATTGGTGGCAGCATCTTACAGTATTTCCAGGACAACGAGCCCTTCTGATTTTCAGAAAATACATTCAGTGAACATGAATCAGAGCCTACATTTAAAGAACAAAATCTTGAACACTTATGGAATTCGACTCTATTCAGGGAAGTACTGCCAGGCGAAAGAATCAAGATGGCTCTCCTGCCCCATGCTGCTGGCAGGGTAGGAAATCTGCGAGACCCTCTGATTGGGCCCACCAGCTTCCATTTGTCTCATGGTCTCTGCGGTACTTCCATTGGGGGTGGTGGAGTTCAGGAGCGCGGTGAAGGACTGCACACAGTCCGAGCTGGGCCCCAGCACAGCCATGTTGCTCGACCCTTGAGCTTCCTGTTTCAGTGGTAGGACTGGCTGATGATTGCCGATGAGGTTTTGAAATAAATCATCATCTATGTTGCCTGCATACAAGTAGCCTGTTCCCATTGACCCACCAGTGCCTGTTGCCCCATTCTGGGTGCTTTGAGGCTGTTGGTGGCCATAGTTATACCAGTTATGGGCTCCTTCTACTCCTTGCCTTTGAGGTGGCTGTTGGGATTGCTGGACCTGCTGGTTCGGTTGGTCCTGTCGAGGCTGGCTGCTGGTTGGGCCATTAGATTGAAGAAACTCCAGATCCTTAGCGGTCAGTAGAGGAAGGCTGTTTCCACTTTCCCCTGTGGTGGGCATGCTGGGACTTGGGTTCACCTGCTGTAGGCCTACTCCATTACTGGTGGTGTTGGCGATTGGATTGGGCCATGCTTGACTGTATGTTCCTGATGGTGGGGTTTCTGTTAGGGGTGGCATCATGGGGCAGGATGGAGGGGCTTTGTTATAATAGCCCGTTGGATTTTGGCGCATCACCCCATGGTTTGATGGACGATAATTTGTTGGCTCTGTAAAAAGAATACGTATATAAGTACATACATATAGCAAATTTTGCTATATTGCTATTTAGTATGGTTTACATGAAAAGTGTTGTGCATCTTACCCATTTTGATTCTCTGATTCATCAAACCTGCCGAAGGCACTGCTTTTGGTCTGTTCATGAAGCTCATGGCTCCTTGGGAGAAGCCAGAGAAGGATTTCATCTGGCTTTCAATTTTACGTTTCTTCTCTTGGCAGCCATATGGATCTGAAAAAGAAAAGAGACATTATGCTCATGTTTGTCTGCCTAATCTACTAGGCAAAATCAAGTGACATAAAACGGTACATTATATCAATATCTGTTGCCCTATTTTTAACTAGGCAGGGTTAGTACAGGTTGAGGGGCAACTCCTCAAAAAAAGGTACTTATGAAATAATAAGTAATTAATAATTTAAAGATATTTGTAAAATAAATACTTTTTACTTTGAAAAATATATTTATAATTTAAAAAAAAATAATAATTATGGTGTGTACACTCGCGTGTGTCAGAATTTTAAAAGAGGTTGTAAAACGTCATGTGGTGCGACTGCCCAAAAATGTGATATTTTGAATAAAAGTTTTTCAAAACCAAATGAGACTACATAAAGTACATTTCTACATGCATTTTAAACTAGATTTTAAAAATATTTTACCGTGGATTATTTATCATTGACCCATAACAAAACAATCTATGATGTGGGTGTCATAACACTGCAGGGTGATCTTTTACCTTTGTCATCGGGCAGATAGCGGAACTCCATGGGCTCACTGACCTCCTGGTCTGTGGGCCGGCGCAGCTGCATGCGCACTGTGACAGGGGCTGTGATGGTGGTGTCATAGTAGGCGGGTGTCTTGAACACTATGGCCACTTGCCTGTGTACGTCTGCCTGAGAGAATAAGCCTTTGGCCTCCCAGGTCTGAGTGAAGAACCTCACCTCAATGTCATCTAGAGTAAGGTAATGTGATGGTATTAAATAAAAGAATGGCTTAAAAAAACTAGCAATGGAAGATGGATAGATAATTTCCATAAAATAAAACAAATGGATGATGAATAAAAGAAAAGAACATGTGAGATTGAATAAATAACTTAATAAATACAAATATGAATTTCAGATCTCTAGTTCAACTTTTGCTTTTAGATTAAGTCAGCAAAATGGCTAAAATCGATAACACTTTGAATTTTTTTTTCAAAATAATTAAAATGTTCCCGTACCTTTCTGCACTTTATCGCAGAGGAGGAAAATCTCATCACCTCCCTTCACACTGCCGCTGTTCTTGTTCACCCGGCAGATTCGCAGTTCGGCTGTATTTGGGGCCCCTGAAACAAGCACAGGCCATTGAGATTGAAGATTAGAAAATCTTAACAAACTTGAAACACAGACATGCACTGCTATGAGCAGTAGGAAATCATTTTTCACATTCTTTGACTTTATCAGAGTATCTGCAGGCACAGCCACACTTGCAAACATTATGTCCTGAGACTGAAAAAGCAGCCAAACCTGTCATGATTTACAAAGTAAGGGCGGGGTGGTTTATTGCTTCCTCTTTTCTGGGTTGTACGAGACTGATTTCTGTGATGGCAAAGAACGTCTTATGGCTAGTTTTACTGCATTGTCATGAGAACAACATGAAATACTTGAGAATCAGCATCTACAAGCAGATGAAAGGGTTTAACCAAGTCATGGCCTGAGCTTTTATTTTTAATCCGCTGACTTATTTAGCATCATACAACCACCACACAAAAACACTCTGCAAGCACTGCTGTTCTGCTCGCGCTGTACAGCAACATCACGTGAGGAAGTGTTGAAATGGACCATGCTCACTTCCTGTAGTGTGGGATGTGGCCACTGACAGATCTGTCACCTAAGCAATGCATTGCCACAGCTTCATGCTCTGTGGCGGCAGAGACTTGCATCAGTAAATCAGTCAAAATTGTTGCCAAATGGTTGTGTTCTGAAGGGTATCGCTATAACACGTTTTTCCTCAATCAAAAACAAAACACTATAAGATATAATAGATACCAATAGCGAGTATTACACAGGTAATTATTAACATTAAATAGTTTCAAACTACAGACTCAGACTAATTTTTGCTAATTTTCATTGATTATAATTTATAGAACATGATACAGAACAAATAAGTTCTATACTGGAAAATTATATTAAAAATCTACAAACTTTTTTAGCTAATAATAAATATCAAATTTAGCTTGTTTTTTATGTAGTGGATTGAAATTTACATTACTCAAAAATATTTATTTATTACTTATTTTTATACTCTCATAAAAATCATTACAGTAAATACTGTAATAATTTTTACTTTATTTGTATCAAGAAACTAAAGGCAATAATAAAAAAACACCGTAATAAAAATATAACATAGTAATAAATATTGTATTCTATTTCAAGATTTGCCCTACCATCCCTTGTGACGCTGTATGACTAGCAGCAGCAAATACAATACAGTTCTGCCACTCATCAAAAAGCTAAATAAGTCTGTGTCAGTGTTGTTATGCAGTCAAACAAACAGTTTTCGACTCTGCCGAGCAGAAATGACAGAGTGTGCTTTTTATTTGTTGTGAACTCACTGTTGTCATAGATGGGGTTGGAGATGATGGGAGGCAGCGTGGTGTTGTACATCCCGGTCTCATCTTGCAGGAAAACTTGGAAGCAAAGACGCACCACATTCAGATCATATTCCTCAGTCTGCAGCAGCTGTTCCCGGGGAACTGTGGACACAAAACATACGTTCAAAGTTGCAGTGTGCACCTTAAAAAACATATCATCATATTAATCCTAGATGTAATTCGTGTCAAAACAGAGCAGAAGATATCGAGAGTCTGTGAATGAAGAGGAAAGGGGAAGAGGGATAAGAAAATGAAACCGGCACGAGAACGAAAACCAGGCCAGTTTGTTTAAAGCTAGCTGACACACTTGTGACACAACTTGTTTTTTAGATTTTTTTGTTGTTGTTTGCCTGACGAAGACCTTAGGGTCGAAACATTGTTATGATTTTAATAAATTGATTTTTGAGAGCAGTAGTGGCAGCATTGACAGTTTTAGATTTTTTTTTTTTTAACATGAGAAAAAGCATGCTTACCACAGTTCTGCAAAATATGAATGAATAAATAAATACTATTACAAATAATAACATTTTAAAATGAATTAAAATTTAATATTATTTTAAAATGAATGTGTTTATTCATTTCGCTGTATTGCCATTTGTTTGATGATTTAAACAAATTTACTTTCACTTTAATATAATATAGTATTTTGTACTTTTTACAGTACATTATTGTAATGTTGGTAATTTATGCAAAAATAAACATATTTATATACACATTTAATGTATATATAACGAGTACATTACAAAGAACTTGGAACATAATATAGTATTTCTTGTACTTTTTACAGTAAATTATTGTAATACTGGTAATTTATGCAAAATATATACATATATACAAGATAAATATATTATATATCATAATATAAAAAATAAATAAATTGATATATCATAATTTTAGTAATTTAATTAATTTTACAGTAATTTTTAGACTAAACAATACTTGACAATCTAAGCCATTGTGCATGATTTACTTCAACTTTAGTTGTGATACCACATATAAATAAGTGATATAAATGTATATTTCGAATTTTGCATTACTGGTCACAATACAATTCCTTTGTTTTGTTTACACTGCTTCCAAGTCATATGTTGGACTGAAACGCATGATGTAATAATGAACGCCTGACCGAGGTGCATTTAAAGGCAGCATTAATACAAAGCCAAGTCAGAAAAGCAAGCAGCATGCAGTGCACTTGCAGATTTCACCCAGCAGCATCACCAGAAATGCCACTGACACATCAGCCTACAAGAGCACAACTGCCCACACGAGTGCTGGTGTGTGCACCTCCGCCCACACTCTCACTCTCAGGAGTCTGCCTCTTTTTACCCCACGGCTATCCCGCCCACAGCCGTGACGAGCTTTGAGCACTCTGAGGTCACAGCAGGTGGAAACAGAGAAAGAGAGCTCGAGTGACAGAGTATCACTGACGACTCTGCAGCAAAGGGGGCGGCCTCCTGACACGAAGAGACACCTCTGTCCAGACCACAAGCCCAGAAGTGGGAAAGAAGGATGGAGACGGAAGCTGAGCAGCGAGGAGCACAGCAGACAGATGTAAAACAGACAAGAAGGAACAGAGGAACAGAGATGAGGTGGGAGGAGATGAGGGGGTGCGGAAGATAGCGAGAGGCAGAGTGTGAAAAAGGCAACTGTGAGGCGCGGTGTGGTCATGTTTATTTGCGTATATGTGCGCCTCTGGTTCTGCATTTAGTGAAGTCAGAGAGCAAGAGAAACGAGTGGACAGCAGTCGCAGGTGGGGGATGATTTAGGTTAGCGTGGGCTGCTGGAAGGTGAAGCAGAGGGTTCGAGTTGTAGAGAGAAATGGGGGCAGGCAGGTGAAGATTCTCCATTCTGTGGGCACACCACCATTCCCAAACCTGACACTGATCTCTCATCATCCGAAAACCCACCATCTGTGACATCTAACACCGTACTGTGCGCTCAACACCCACTCAGCACCCATCACGGCAAATCCAACAAGGGGCAACCTCACAGACTCCACGAGTTTTATAGCTACATACTTTTTCGCCAACATGACACGTATGCCTACTGATTAAACTAGTTGTTATTTCGAGTTATTTTGAACAGTCACATGTTACCAGCCAAATATGGGAATTGTAATCAAATGTAGAAATGTCATGAAATGCACTTTTTGATGTGCAGTTATGCATAATTTGAACCTTCAAACCCTCAGGTTTTAACGTGAAAACGTAGTGCTATGTAACGTCAAATATTTTAGGATGTTACAGTTCGGACCACATTAATGCATGAAAATGACAAAATTAATTACTAAAACAAATATATTACTTGCAAAATATTCTAATGTTATATATATATATATATATATA